GCCTATTAGACGTTGAAGCATTGCCACCCAAATGTTTGCCATCTCTCCCTCTTCGAACGATGCCCCACCTTGTAACATCTCGCTCAAATTCACACTCGACTCTCCTTTTGCATGTGCTAAAGTTAATTGCAGTCAGTGTGTTCCACTCCCACCATTCTACGGGGTGAAATCGCATTTGCGGCTTATCGAATATTGACTTTCCTCCTCTCACCCTTAATTGACACACACTCACATTGAGTATAAGACCAAAGCACTCCTACTTCCTCTACCTCCTTCTTTAACACCTTTTTTTCGTCTCATTTCCACGTCTCACATTGATCACTCACTAGACTTTTAACCTACACCTTTGAAGAATGTATTCCTACTGTCTTGTGGTTCTACTTTCATGAGTTGACAGCCATGGTTATGGTTTGGTGCTTTAGTCTCTATCCTTCTCCCACTATCCAAATTCTATTCTCTTCCCCATTATATACCACCCTATTGTCAGTTTGGTGATGCACTTTGGCCCACACCACACCACTTCTCGACTTCCTACATTTTTCCAACTCATACTTTCTCCTCTTACCTCCTAGTTTTCGTCTCAAATGCCTTCCTCTGCTTTTTCATATTTGGAGGTATGAACAGGTTTTGGCTGAAATATTTGCCCCACACTCTAAGCTTCCTTCCATCCTACGCTTACTCTTGAATTTTAAATCCGTCTTCATTCATATGCGTGGGTGATGCTATGGACTTACCTCCACATGGTACATTCTGGTCAACGTGTACTCATACGACAAAAAGTCTATAACTCCTCTGCTGACTTCAATTTGTTATGATCAGCCTGAAGCGCAACTGTTAGCGGAATCGTCCTAACAAGTGTGAATCACTACTTCTAGAGATGTTTCAATGGAATGTTGGTTTTTCGTCACTAGAAAAATTGGTCAAAGGCCAGAAAATCCTGCCTGCCTATAATATCGGCCTATTCACAGTCATGGAAGCCAACCTCCGTTGACAAACTCAAATACTACCAATTCCCAGGTTGCACCCTATATTTCCCACCAAAAGACCGCAAGTTGCAAGTCGAATTTTAACAGGAGTAAAAGAAGGCCTCACATCACATTTGGAACTAATCAAGAGTATGAGCTCGACGCAAGATATACACGAAATTACCAGATGAAATGTTTGGAAATGTGAAAACCACTTCAAGATATACGCGGTCTATAATCCACCCCGGAATAGACTCAACTTCGACCCTTTAAGCATCTTTCACAAAACTGCAGTATTTGGCGACTTCTATGCCCATTCCACCAGATGAGGCTATATGAACTTTTATTTATTTATTTCAAATGGCAAACTTTATGATATTTATCATTAGCCCTTAATCTTTGACTTCAGCTTCCCCCAGGGGTCTGCCTCATCATTTATTTCAAATGGCAGGCTTTATGATATCTATCATATTAGCCCTTAATCAAGGGATCATTAGCCCTTAATCCTTGACTTCAGCTTCCCCCAAGAGCCCTTAATCTTTGACTTCAGCTTCCCCCAAGAAGGATAAAAAAATTTATTTCAAATGGCAGGCTTTATGATATTTACTAGCCCTTAAACTTTGACTTCAGCTTCCCTCAAGGGTGGGTACATTTATAGACTTAATCTTTGACTTCAGCTTCCCCAAGAGGGGGGGGGGGTACATTTATAGCGGTTAAAATAGCGGAAAAACTTTGACTTCATCTTCCCCCAAGGGTGGGGGGGGGGGTACATTTATAGCCTTAATCTTTGACTTCAGCTTCCCCAAGAGGGGGGGGGGGTACATTTATAGCGGTTATTAACACAGCCCATGGGTGGGGGGTACATATATAGCAGTTAATTAATAGCAGACATTAGCAGTCTTCTTGCTTCCCAGTATCTTTGGCTTTCCTGTAGCTGTCTTCTTGCTTCCCAGTATCTTTGGCTTTTGTCCTTGTCTTTAGAGCTGGACACCGAATCAGGTGGGTCTGCGTTGTCTTTAGAGCTGGACACCGAATCAGGTGGGTCATCACCATTTCCTCCGCTAGACACCGAATCAGGTGGGTCTTCTCCATTTCCTCCTTTGAACACCGAATCAGGTGGGTCTTCTCCATTTCCTCCTGTATACCAGTATCTTTGGCTTTCCGTACTTGTCTTTAGGGCTGGATATGATCAGATGGGTCTTCTCCATTTCCTCATGTAGGTTACATATGGTGGGTCTTCTCCGTTTCCTCCTGTAGGTCACATAGACAGGTGGGACTTCTCCATTTCCTCCTGTAGGTTACATAGAGTATATGTGGGTTGAGTGTATACTCTCAATCTGTGAAGGTGTTTTGATTGTATACTCCTAATCTGTGAAGGTGCTTCGCCAGATTTCCTCCTGTAGGTTACATAGAGGGCATGTGGGTTGATCGCTAGACACCGAATCAGGTGGGTCTTCTCCATTTCCTCCTTGTTACATAGACAGGTGGGACTTCTCCATTTCCTCCTGTAGGTTACATAGAGTATATGTGGGTTGAGTGTATACTCTCAATCTGTGAAGGTGTTTTGATGTAGGTTACACAGAGGGCATGTGGGTTGAGTGTATACTCTCTTAGATTAAGAATCAGATGGGTCTTCTCCATTTCCTCCTGTAGGTTTCACATCAGGTGGGTCTTCTCCATTTCCTCCTGTAGGTTACAGATCAGATGGGTCTTCTCCATTTCCTCATGTAGGTTACATATGGTGGGTCTTCTCCGTTTCCTCCTGTAGGTCACATAGACAGGTGGGACTTCTCCATTTCCTCCTGTAGGTTACATAGAGTATGTGGGTTGAGTGTATACTCTCAATCTGTGAAGGTGTTTTGATGCAATCTGTCCGTACGTAGTCTAAACTCAGCAACGGCTTCGATTCTTGGCCAAGTAGTCTAAACTCAGCAACGGCTTCGATTCTTGGTAACCGTGTCAGGTACGTAGTCTAAACTCAGCAATGGCTTCGATTCTTGGCTAGTCGGGTATGTCGGAGAGTGCCACTGTCCACTGTTTCTCTAGTACGTAGTCTAAACTCAGCAACGGCTTCGATTCTTGGCCAAAGTTAAACTCAGCAACGGCTTCGATTCTTGGCCAGTCGGGTATGTTGAGAGTGCCACTGTCCACTGTTTCTCCTTTGTTCGAGCTTCTAGCAACGGCTTCGATTCCTGGCCAGTCGGTTATATCGGAGAGTGCCAACTGTGTTTCTCCTTTGTTCGAGCTTTAATTTCGTTGCCTTCTCCTTTGTTCGAGCTTTAAGTTCGTTGCACCTTGACTGTATACTCCCAATCTTTGAAGGTGTTTTGCCAGGCAATCCGTCGGTACGTAGTCTAAACTCAGCAATGGCTTCGATTCTTGGCTAGTCGGGTCGAAGAGTGCCACTGTCCACTGTTTCTCCTTTCTTCGAGGTAAGACTCAGCAACGGCTTCGATTCTTGGCCAGTCGGCCGGAGAGTGCCACTGTCCACTGTTGAACGGCTTCGATTCCTGGCCAGTCGGTTATATCGGAGAGTGCCAACTGTTCTCCTTTGTTCGAGCTTTAAGTTCGTTGCACCTTGACTTTCTCCTTTGTTCGAGCTTTAATTTCGTTGCACCTTGAGACATGGAATTCTATCTTGATTAAGGCCTTCATTGTGTGGAAAGACATCGGCCG